CACACTAAGTATAGGCGTCCTCGCGACGCCGGCCGTCAATATACCACCCCTAACTAACCCCCCGGGGGGTCCGTGGGTGTTACTGGCTGGTAGAAGCGAGACCGAGGGACGAAAGTACGGGACGCGGAGCGTTGGCGCGAGAGACGGTTAGCGAGAAAGAAGGTGCGACGAGGAGCAAGATAGCCGGACGGATATAGAAGGAACGGAGACGGTGAAAACACGAGGAGGGTGGGTTGCTTCTGCACGAGGGATCGTCGCCGTCGCCGTTCCCGTTGCCGTCGTCGTCGTCGTCGTCGTCGTCGTCGTCGTTGCCGTCGTCGTCGTCGTCGTCGTCGTCGTCGTCGTTCTCCTCGTCGTCGTCCTCCTCGGTCGTTGTGTGTGCGAGGGTAGGTGGGCACCATCCAACCATCCTATCCCATCCTATCCTCCTGGCGCTATCCTATCCTGGCGTAGCTTAGTTTAGCTTAGGGCCCTGCCACCCGGGAGGCTGCTGCCGTCAGAGGGAAAGAGGGAGTTGGTTACGGACGGAGACGAACCGAGGAGTAACGAAGAGGGTCGTATACCGGGCTGACGAGGACCAGACGAAGAGGTAACCGGTAAACGAAGACAGAGAGAGAGAGAGGAATAGCAAGAGGACGAAGATAGTACGGGTATAGGGTTGGTGGTAGGACATTGCGGATATATTCGCCTCTATCCAGCAAACCGGCCTCCTCCGCGCACCACCGACCGACGGCGTAGCAGCATCCTCTCCGGCGTTTCTCTCTCCTGGCCATCCTGCGACGTAATCAGCGAGAGAACCACCACCACCCACCCACTCTCTCCGCCAACCCACCCACCATCGACCCCTTTCTGCTCCCACCTCCTCCTCATCCTCATCCACCTCGTCCTCTTGCTCTACCTCCTCATCCCACCTTCGTCTCGCGTCTCACCGCGACCACCTACCAACCCACCCCACTCGCTTTGCACTACCCCTCGGCATCCCTTGCCGGCTGCCGTGGCATGCATCTATCCGGACGTCTATCTACCTATCTATCTCGATGCACTGGGTGTCCAACCGAAAACCGGCTTCCATTTCTCTCCTAGCGCGAATTCGGCCATCCAGCCTCGCTAACGATCCCTCCGGTTACCAACCCACCTACCCTCGGACCTTCTCGTGCCAGACCCTTAATGGCGATCGCGGTTCCAGATATCCGCGTAAACGCGACGACGCTCCACCGAAATATATGTAGGATCGCGCGCGCAACGCCGGCGTCGTTTCGTGGAAAAAGCTTGTCGCCCGCTCAGCACCAGGGTCAGCGAACGGGTCGTGTACGGCGCTAACGGTCGAGAGAATTTGTTTCGTCGAGAAACCGATTCCGAGAGGGGCCGTAGAAACGGTTGCCCGATAGCGCGTTTCGCGTTGTTTCCGTTTTATCAATGGAAAACGAGTTTACGGCTCGCCAAGCGTCGAGCGTCGTTTATCATCGAACGAATTCCGCGCGTCTTCCTTTCCTTATTTCTCCCTTTTCCCTCCTCCTTTTTCAATGCATTCTTTTCACTTTCACCGTGGAGCGGAGGACAGCGTTGATTTCATTCATAAGTATTCACGGTACTTCATAAGGTCCAACCTGACGATCCTTAACGGCCCTCCACCTTATTTAACGTCAGCCTCTCGAAAGTGCTTAAAGTTCCTTTTAACGGGGAAACTTGTTCCATAAACGAACAGAGGCCGAGAACCAAAGTAACCGTCGTCGAAGCCGGTTCGTATCAGAGAACGAACAGTTAAAGAGAATTTTCGTAAACGATTAGCGACGGTCCGTTTTCGATTCGAGGACCCCAATTAATAACGCCCCCGAGATTAATTACCATTAACGCGCCGTTGTTCGTGAGGGAACGCCCGCTTCACGGAATTATCAAAAATTCTCTTATAATTACGTTTCAACGGATACGCGTAATTGCGGTTCGTCGTCAGTTCCCCGTCGCGCCGTTGGCTAATTGCATAAACGAGGTACAAGTTTTTCCATCGGTGTCGCAGGAATCGCGACCAATTACGAAGGTGAGCGAGGACGAATGACCGTGTGGGAATACCGCTCGGTATACACGTGTATCTGTTATTGTGATATGGATGTTAATAGGTTAGGGGGTCTCCGGAGAATGTGGGGTGAATCACGATTTCGATAAGGGTTTATATTCCTCCCGCTCTCGTCCATTCTTGCCACCCATCCTCCCTCCCTCGATTCGTTCGCTTCTCCCTTCCAGCACCCCCCCCCCTCCTCCCCCCTCCCCCACCCCTCCCACTCCCTTTTCCGGCATCCCTTTCTCTTTATCCTTCTGCGTTACGCCGTTTCTCCCTCTTCTTCCCACCGTTCTCGCTCATTGAAAACCGGCTCTAGGGCTTCCAACGTGCCAGGTTTGCACGTATATGGGTGCTCCTGCGCCGTGCACGCGTGTTCGTACGTACGCGGAGGGACACGCGTATCCGTATATACGTACGTACTTACTTTATAGCAGCAACGTCAGAAACACGTGTACGGCTCGTTAGAGTACGCCGAGCCACGGCACGGTCGCTCGCGCTTATGTATCACCGGTGTATTTGTAACGATCGGCCGTCAACGAGGCCAGTCGCGGAGACCCTCTTCGGAGGTGGCTCGCCAAACATTAATCCGAACTCATAAACACTTTTATGGCGCGAGCTTCGGGGCTAGGATTATCGTGTCTCGCGCGTCGCGTACGCTGAGAACGCGACCATATGGCGTTCACGACGATCGATACCCGGGGCCCTCCCCATATCGATTATATCGAATTTTATCAATCGCTTCTCCACCCTCCCTTTGGTCCACGATTATCGGTATTTAAATCTCTAATTATTCGGAAGAATCCCGATATCGTGGAGGAAGTCGAGCGCTTGCGAGAGAGACAAGAGCGTGGCCCTCTGGTGGCGCCACACTTGTATCATTTCTATTAAAATACGTAAGAAGTTCGATCAGAGGTCCAAGAGCTCCCTTTTGTACTATATTTTGTACTATATTATTAACAAATAATACAACATCTACAATATCTACAACAGTAGAGGAAATGTTTTTGAAAAAATTTTGTAAGATTTTAATCGCAGTAACATTTACAAAGAATTAATAAGACGGGGTTGAACTTGTTCGTCATCGACTAAGAATATTTTTGAATCCGCGAAGAGGGTAACCGGCCGTGCGCGCGCGTCCCGGCGTGATTTGTTTACGGGAGAAGAGATTTACAGATGCGATTAATGTGTCTAACTTGTTGAGCGGTTATGCCGATTTACTTGGTAACGGACTTCAGAGGTTCGCGTCCACCCCCTTTAAGTTTCATCCGAGGTTACGAAAACGAATAGACGGCGCTTCTATGAAGTTTAAAACTGGGCTCTTGCTGGGTACTTCCACTCTCCGTTCTACACAATCAACGGTATAATCCGTTCAGTTGCCCGACGAAGTTACAAACTTGCCTACCTCCGTTTCTTGCCAGCGGAAAGAACTGGGGAACAGCTGTTACGTAAATAGTCAGGATTGACACGAAGGATCAACAGAGTATTCGACTAACGGCAATTCACGTTCTATGAATGAAAACGTTTGCCCTTCCCTCGAAAATAACGCTTTACATCGATACATACATCGATGATTTCTAAATTTTTCCGTGGAAAACGAATGGTGGGTTTAACCCTTTCCAATAGATCTTACAAAACGTCGAGTCTGAGAACCGCAACCGGTCAGAGATTCCAGAAGCTCAGCGTGGAACTGCACGCACGGTGTTTCCTCCGCGCGTGTTATAATTCTCGCGAACCGCGAATATCGCGGATTACGTAACGTCGTCGTTCTATACATAACCAAGCCGAATTGGAGCGAAGCCGTCGGCGTTCGCGATTAAATAGAATCACCGCGCCCGCCTTTTCTATTAGGTCATACCACGAGTAACGCCGCCTTTTTTCGCTGCTCGTTCAAGGCGCCAACAAATGGACTCTTAATCATCCGAGCACATACGCATTTAACACGATCGAATCGAATTCAAACACGACGGAGGAAATTTTCGATTTAAACTTTGGTATGCCTGTTATTAATAATAAAGTTCTATGGGGAGCGCTACACTATTGGGCTAATACATTGTGGCATCCGTACCTCTCGCGCTCGCCACCAGAGGGCTCGGTTTCTCGCAAGCGCTTGACCAACGCGCCCGCCTGAAGCATCGCCACGATATAAAAAGTTGGAAATAAATGACACAGTCGGTATCTAGAGAACGAATAAACAAATCCCGCGGCTGTTCCGTCATCCAGCGAATAAATATCGCGCAAACATCTGATATTCGACGGTCGGATATTTTTCACCCGCGGCGGGTAAATATTCCACGGCTCCGGTCTCCGCTCGGACGAGGTCTGCGCCCGTAATCGACGCCGAGCGCGATAAAGGTCCCGCGCGGCCTCGAGACCCTCCCCCCACAGACCCTTATTTCCGACTACGCCCCGCGAATTCGGGTTTCGTAGCTTTCCGAGCACCGCGTACACGCCGGCAAAGCATCGCGGCTTGTTCGTGTATCTCGGTGTATACGGTTTGCAGGCCATGTATACCGCGTAGGTGTAAACCTGAATGCGTGAGTGTTGGTGTAGGGCGGCCTCCGCTTCCTCGCGCGGCGGGACGCACATAGCCCGAGAGCCGATGGAACATCTAGCCGAAGTATACAGGGTGAACCACGTATCTCGTCCATCCCGACCGTTCCTCGTCGTCCTGAGTCCACTGACGATTGATTTACTAACGAACACGAACGCAAGCTTGACCGATCCAGAGAATCAGCGAAGCCAACGTTCTTCGTTTGCTTTAAAAATTTTATACGATTAACCCCTTGTGTTACGATTTGATTTCCAACTGTGCGTGCCAAAAACGACACCAAGGTCTCTGAGACGTAATTGTAAGCTAAGGGGTTAAAACAGTTCGCTATGAAATATCTCTACGATACGAATTCTTGAAGAAGGCAGAAAATAACGTATTAGATCGATCGGTGACATGGTAAATAATTGGGTGATGGGCAAGGTATATGGTTCACCCTGTACAGGCGGCAGCAGGGGCTAGGTACTATCTAGTATCTAGTAATACCGGGTACTAGGTACGTACGCGCCGCGGACGCCAAATAGTGGTTCGCATATTCAGAGAGATAGCGACGTCGCTCGGTGCGATCGCCCCTGATTTAGGCCTCGTTCCCTCGCTCTGTCTCTCTTACCCGTCGGTGGTCACTATTCGTCTCCCAGTCTCACCTTCGCCCTCTCTCTCTTTCTCTTTCGCTCTGTCCCTGTTGCTCCTCGTCCCTCCTCCTTTCCTTCGCCCTCGGTCGTTCCATCTCCCAACGCGCGCCAACACAGTCAAGACTCGGTGTACGCGCGGCCGTATTTGTCCCGTGTACGTATACAGAAAGGCACACATAGCACTCCGGTCGCGTCCACGGATAACGTCCTCGATACGGCAACCAGCAGCGGCGAGCACGACATCGAGGCGTCCCGAAAAGCGCTATCTCGCGGCACCCCGCTCGAAGCCGACCAATCAGCGCTTCGATCCGCGCTTTCGACCGTCGCGCTTTGATCATGTACCCCGCGACTGATACCCACGAGCATCGTCGTCTCGGCGTAAATCACGTCCGCCTCGTCCTCTTCCGTGAACGTCGATCGCCCTGGCCCTCGGGTGGGGAAGAAAACTGGCTGGGGAAATTATCGGTGGCGCGTAGTCCCGGAATTAAAGGATTTTCGCTCCTTGCGATTTCGAAACGTCGCGATCGAATCTTGCGCTCGTTGGCTTCCTGCCAAGTATTCCAAGGATTTGGCTATTATTTAATACCGTGAAGGGAAATACGAAATACTTCACGACGGACAAGCAAACGTTTGGCACGTTCGCTGCTGGCGAAAAAATTCTACGATCATTTTTTAATAACGTCGCGAACCGGTTAACAGTGTAACGGACTGTGACATACGGTTATATTTCATAAATACGGTATCCACGATCCAAGTATTGGTCGTTGATAATGTTTCGAGAAGGTCGCGGGAACCTTGAAACGAGCCTCGATATTTTAGATACTTCCGAACTGATCGTTATAACCCTTTTGAATCGCACGGAAAATGATGAATGGCTCGGAAAAATCTTGGAATCTTCTTCGCGGCAAATCAACTTTAGTCTGAGATTGGAACTTGTCGATTATCGAATAAAACTCAAATACTAATTCAGATAATTAACTGCTAAGTACTCTGTGAGTAGTCTGTAAGTATTTCACTTTTGAAACATCTACGATCCTGTTGAGATCTGTTAAGATCTGTTACACCTTCGAAAGAAACCGAATCGTAACATCGTCGGGAATTACGTATAACCGGGAAACGATTGCGTTCGCGTCTCTTTTGGCGAATAAATTCGCACGTCTAGATTGAAACCGTCTGAAAAAGTATCGCGCTTGCACGTCCCGCTTTGAAAGCATCCGCAAGCCGATCGCGAAAACCTTTGATCGCGCGATTAAAAAGTAAATTTGCCGAAAACGTCTCGCCTCGTTCTTGTAATTTCCCCGCGACGAGGTGTTAAATCCTATAGAGATGTATTTATCGCCGTGGCGCGCGTCGTATATCTCGCGATATTCACGCCGTAGACGACGGCTTCGTCGAGGCTGTAAATTATCGTGCGGGACGTAAGTTCATGGTTGAGAAACACTGAGCGCAGCTGCCGCGGCGGCGGTATCTCCGTGTTGTCTGCTACCTCACACCCTCGTCTTGCGTCCCACGTGGGTGCCGGTCGAAGGGGTCGCGCGGAACGAGGGTGACGCGCGGGGCAAGCGAGGGACGACGGTTGAGGGGCCAAGGGGGGAGGGGCGGGTGAGCAACGCCAATGGGCGAGAAAGCGGGACCGAGGGCGCCGGAGGGTAGAGAGAAGGAAGGGGTCGGCGGATAGGGTAAGGTTAGGTTGGGTGGACAGAGGGGGCGGAAGTGGGTGAAGGGGTCGAGGGATAGCCGCACCACCCACTGACCATCTCTGCCCTACCCTGGCCCAGGCTACGCGCTCTCGCAAAAAAAACTGCCCTCTCCCGTTCCAAGACACGAAAGGGCGAGGCGACCCTTGGACGACTTCGAAACACCTTCGGGACCTTCTTGGTGAATTTCCCCGGAAACAGAAGCGAGACCGACTCGAAAACTGTCGCGAAATCGTATTTCTTACCGCGGAGCTACTACAGCTGACCAAAAGTTGTTCCGACCACGTTTGCTCCCTTTTTTCCACGGATTTAATATCACGCGCGTCCTTTTGTGTTCCACTGATCCCGTTTCGTTTTGTTTGGTTGTTGCGTCTTTCTCTTTCTATACCTCGGTGATTCCCGCGGTACGATGTAGTAAATTCTATGCGTAGATCATAATACGGTGACGTAGGTCAGGGACCGAGAATACACACGGGCTGCCACGTGCTCGCCGGCGTGTTTCACTGTGTACACTCCTCGTATGGACGATTAGTAGCTGTGTGTGCGATGTATTTACTCTTTGGTATTGTTATTATTATTACTTCTGCGTTTTCACGCGAGACCAACGGTAACGGAAGATTCTTTCATAATTTACCGATTGTCGGTAACGCAGATCAGATTAATAAATTTAGGTCGATTATACACTCTAGTCGAACGCTTTAAATACAATTTACATACAACTTGAAACATAGAAATATGTAGAAGCTTTTCGATAAACAAACACAGTCGAGTACTCTATTTATCGATCACCGGTATAAAGTTAACCAGAAAATGAGAAACATATTTGCTAACTATATACTTCTTTTTTTTCATTTTTATGTTTCAATTTTGTTTGTGATTACAGCCGAAACACTTGCGATCACCAACTTGGTTGCAAAAGATCCAAAAAGGCAATTGCTTCGAATGCGCGACATTTTTAACGAGTTTGTTACTAGGACAAGGATATAACGCATTCGTGGTAAGCGGCTACGCGTCTAGGGAACAAACTTTACGCGACTTGACGAAAACATCGTGCCCCTACATACGGCAACCAAAACCACCGCCTCTCTCGCTGAAGAAACAAACAAAAATTTCCAAGTATAAACTCAAACCGCCTGTAGAATATAAAAGTAAATTTTTGGCAGAATTGGAACAAGAAACGGAAAAGAAATTTCAAGAGAAATTACAACGGCAAGAAAGGGAGCAGCAGAGATTGATAAAAGTAATTAAACGCTATTTTCTTCAACGGTAACGTAACGTTCTACTTTGATACTTACTCGAGGGAAATTATTTTCGGCTTTAGGAGTTAGAGCAGCCTCCGTTGGATAAATATTGGGGATACAGAATACATGCTTGGGTAGCGATTTTACCAGAGTTGGGTGGACTTAGGGATCAGGAGATTTCCTGGCCACTTTTTATCGAACCTTCGACTGGCGTATCTTATAAACCGTCGACCGGTAACGCCGACGAGCTGTATTTGGGCGTAGAGAGTATATGGAACGATCAGAATTATTGGGTGAACATGCAACCGTTCTCAAAATCGTGTGCAAACATAGCGTGGGATTTAACAAAAGTCGAACTATGGGAGCATGTGCTTCCTGGAGAACCGTGGACAATGCGGGGAATAGGAGAGGCGATCGATGAAGATTCTGCCATATTACAAGAGAAACATTTGGACATGCCTTTCTCCTATGTACAGGAAATAAACATTAGCGATCAAGGTTCGTGAAGTTTTCTGTTTGTAACAAAATACGTAAGAATTTTCGTATTGTGTCCATGCAATTTAATTACACGTTCCAGAATATGAAAGACGATACCCAAACGGCGCAAAAACGATATTTTATAAGAAAACGAAAGTTGAACTTTACGCGCCGTACATCCAACCAAACGGTTTGATACAAAGGATCACTCTGTACGACGATTACGATTACGCGATTCCTGTCCAAGTTCAAGAAATTTACGCAAACAGATCGGATAACCTCGTGGAATCGAAAAAGGATTTAACCGACGATTCAGTTGTAGATTATTACGACAGAGGTCGCCCGGATCACTGCAAAGGTTTTATCCGATAAAAAATTATTTCTCGATTCGCGAGGACGCGTGACGATCTTCCTTTCCGATTTATCGATAATGAAATTCGAAATTCGCAGAACACCGATATTTCGAAAATGGTTCCAATATGGTGGACGCCGAACGGACCTTGCATTTTTACCATGTCGCCCGTATCGACGGCCTGTCGCAATTCGAGATGCACCCGACTTATTTAACGCAACATTTTATTAATCGTGATGACCTTCTGTATTATCGGTAAGTAGTATAGTTTTTATTAAATAACGGACACGACAGAAGGGGTATAGAAAAGACCAGTGTCGCATAAAACGTTATCGATTCAAAGTAAAATTGCAACGCCACTAGCGGCAAGAATTGGAACTTGCTGTACCGAGTGTACAAGTCCACATTAATTAAATTAAATTACGTATCACGTAAGAATTCTTCGAAATTCAAAGAATTTTAAAAGCTATAGCATTGAACACTTAAAAAAAAGACAGAAAACTCACCAATCGTAGAATATGATCGAGTAATACCCTGGTGGCGAATCGATGATGTCGCTGTTGGTCGGTAGAGGACGTTCTTGTAGTCGTTATGGTGATAAAATGTGCAAATTCTATAAAGAAACAGAAAGCATTTTATTACAATTTGTTTTTAATAGTATAGGGGTTCTAATGAATATTTTCTGATTTTTCACTTGTGTTTGAATAACAGCAAAATTTCTTCGTTATTTTAAACTTGGATATGAATGCAATTTGCAACGAAAAATTTATAGAAAATCAATTATAAATAATACCATTCCAAGTTTCTCACTAATATCTAACGACGCCATTTTATACTGCCATACAATCGAAGATACACGATCGTTACAGATCGAAGTGAAGAAAAATTAAATCAAATCTTTTTTTGGTTAATCTGAGCACTGACCAATTATAAAATGGCGTATCGTGCTTACGACACACAGAAACTCGATAGAAAGACAAAACTATGTACACAATCGTATAAAAGCTATGTATTTTTATGTACAGATCATTTATTCTTATAATAAATTAGACTTTACCAGTACATTCTCCGTTTGAAATCCATTCGAACCAACTGTCGACTAACATGGCGTCGTTTGTGCGCCACCTAGCATGGTCTTTGCAAACCCATGGTCTTTGAATTGCAATCAGCAACTGTAATAGAAATAAACACCCATTTGAAACAAATGAATCTAAATAAATGTACTTGCTTTATAATTAAACAATTAAACCCAAAATATATTATAAAAGATTGTAATTTAATTCAGAGAGACGGTTACAATTAGAACTGTGCAGAGATAAAAGAAAAAGCATGAAACCGATCTAAATTTTCTCACGATGTCGATAAAACTTTAAACTAAAAATTTATTAGTATCATGTAAAATGAATAATGAATATATTTTGATAAGGTTTCATAATTCTCTAAATATGTCTTCTTCCTTTAATTTTCACGGAACGAATAACGACCTATCGTTTTAATCAGGGGCGGACAAGAGCATGGCCACTCTCTTCTCTCAACAAAATATTAATCATTAATTTTACATTCTATATTTCAATTCGTGCAACACCCATCCCCCCATAAGATGAAAAGTCTATTCTAATCTTTGTCTGTGGCATCCTACATTTTATCGATGACGTCACAATAAAAATATGATATAAAAATTTCAATTGACTTACAAACAGGCATGTACAGTTTTGTCCAGAAAAGAGCATCCCTGTGTTGAACGATATACATTATCGATATATCTGGGTAACGTAAATTTTGATATCACACGAAACCATCCCGCCTTTAACGTAACCTTACCAAGGCGCGCAATTCGAATTTCAGGAAATCATTGAAAAGTTTAATAGAAACGAAAGGATCAAAGCCAATAAGAATATAGCAATTCGCGAATTCGCAATCGGCGAGAACGAGATACGTCTTACGTATCATTATAAGCCGGAACAGTATTCCAGAGCTACTAGAATGTACGTAAAACCACCGTTGGCAGAAAGGGGTGATCGACTTGTTCTAAATCCTACAATGATGCAAGCATACAACGTACGTTTTTCAAAAATGTTACAAGAGTATTTACTTAAAATAAATTCCATTTTGTTTATTGCTTACAGCCTTTGGACGAACCCGACAAGGCTCTCGAGTTATTTTACGAATTAGAAACGCAACTGAAGGAAGAGGATCAATCTGTAACTCACGTTAGAAGCGCTGAAGTTGAAGTGTTCAACTTCATCTCAACGAGAGAGAACGAGTACACAACGCCAGAGCTGTTAACGTCTGTATTCGACAAGTACAGAAACGAAGGATCTCTAACAGACGTATGTGTTCGTGGTATAAAAATAATAACGACAAATACCTTCGTTTATTTCGCTGATTAATATCTCTGATTATTAAACGTAGATCGATTGGGCGCGTGCACAGAGCGAAAAAGACATCACGCAAGACGTGGATTATTTAAAACCATATTTAGCGCGTATAGGAAATACAGAAGAGATATCCAAAGATCGCGCATATTTATTGCAACACGAGTGTCTCAACGATTACAAACAACTACTTGTACAGAGAGCAAATAAGATTTTACGTAAATTTGACGAATATTCACAACAGCTGGAGAAAATGCAAACGTTACTAACGCAGGTGAAATATTTTTTTTTCTGTAAAATGAATTACCATATAGTATCAAGTATTACAATACTTGAATAATAAATTGTTGTGCACAGAGCGAAAATTTAACCCGCGAAGAAGAAGAAAAGATATTGGAGGAAATGAATGAGATAAATTTCATCTTGATAACATTGGAGACCAGATTAAATCGTCATAGAGATTTAGTTCCAGTACGATACAGAATGTTAGTGAATCACTTACAACGAAGCCCGCATCTCGCATTACTCCAAACCAATTCGAGATGAATGCAAACAAGTAAGAAACCGATTGCTTCGAGTATTAAAACAAGGTCGCACGATGGAATATATACGAAATTCAAATAAATACATTTATTGAAAAGACCAAGAGCCCATTTGTCCGATACATCGACCTGAAATAATTTTCAGATATAAATATTTTTAATGTTTGATAAAATATTAACGCGTTTTACGTCACTACCTTCGTCATCGAAGGTGGCCAATGTAAATTTACTAAGCTTGTTAGTGAAATTCCCGGTATTGCAACCTATCGAATGATCCGTCAGACGTTCGATATTTGCAACATCGCCATTAGCCCCATGACGACGATACTCCTCGGCAAAACCAGAAATTAACGTATCCATCATTATTGCCTGGAAATGAAGTAACTCTGTACCTTCGATATCCCATTATGCGCGATCGTTTTGCTACAAATAAATCATACTTGTCTTGAGAATACTTGTAGAATTTTGTAAACTCGTGCTCCATTCTCTCGTACAGGAAACTGTAAGAATAGACAAGGCAGGCAATCTAGGTTACCTTCGTCGGAAGGCTTTGCCATTTCCCAACTCAGTTCCGAATATCTCAATCCCAATAATAAACTCTGTATGAAAATTACCTTCAATTTATCGCGTGTAAAATAATTAATTACCGTATGAATTCGTATTCCTTACGCATTGCATGTCGTCGACGATATAAATTCCTGATGAATTTATAGCTATGAGCACATGCATATCACGGTTCGTGATCCACGACGCTAGGCCTCTCACGGGACGCTCGATTTGACCTTGAAAGAACGCTGCACCGTAACACGGTAAACTCCAACAGAACTCCAAGTATTTTCTGATCAGTTTTCTCGAGTTCGTGTTGGTTCCTGTGTGATTAGGTATTCGCTTGTACTGTTCGAGAAGGCGTGCCTCTGGTGCACCTTTGCCTCCTACCAACCCTAATCCAAGACCTAGCCCCAACAGCAAACTGGGAGAAGTATAGTGATGTGGTAGAAATCGACCACGATGTCTTCTGAAGAATGCTAGTGTATGGCTTTGGGGATTGTACGGGCCGAGTTCGATGCGTGCTTGCAGTGCTCCTAAGCTAGCATATCGTGCTTGACCTTCGCACGGATAGCGTCCTAAAAATGTAAGTCAACGTATCGTGCAAAATAATAGAAACAAATCCTCGAGAAAGTATCTTACCCTGCAGCACATTATTTCTAGCTTCTGCGTATAGTAATTCCAACACTTTAGCTTCTTTTATTTGTTCTTCGTCCGATCGAGAGACAAATACATTCCTCCTGAGGCACAGTAAAGGTTCCTCGTCGGTATCTTCTATATGAGAACTATACTTTCTCACTAAGCGGTTCCACTTTGTAGCTAACTCTATAGGTTTGTGGCTCGAGCGTAACTGAACTTCTAGCCTCGAAGAGCACAGCCACAAAGCGAACACTGTTTGTCCAGTAAGTAGAGGAGCCCTTGATAATCCAAGCTCTCCTTCGGTTTGTATTATTGTGAGAATCTGTTGCGCAGTGAAATTCTGTTCGATATCCATTGTTAGAAATATTCCGGTCATTAAGTACACAGCTATTCGAACAGCAGGTCTCCCTACGTTTAAATACTGCGGTTGATTGACCATCATTGCTGGGTGAAGAATATCGCAATAGTTTTCAATAGTTCTCATGCGTAACTGCATTCTTTGAATAAATGATGTTACTACTTACAAGTTGACGTATGTCCATCAGGTTTGTAATCATTTTGGTAGCGACGAATTGGCTGTCTTCGAATCGTACAATCCTCTTGTACCTCCATGTTTTTTTAATTTTTATTTAACCATGACGTTTGTTTAGCATTGTACTTTTTTTAGGATTCACCATTCAGAGATTTAATTTCATAAAAGTGTATTTCATTCATATTTTCTGTTCTTATTGTATATTAACACTAAATATACTGTCATGTTCAGTAATGTGCTTTGTCTCCATACAGAGTATAGAATATTTTACACAGTAATACGTACGTGTTTGATATCTAAAAGGAGAGTATTAAATAATTATTTTCTGTAGAATAAGTAAAATTCTACTGTGCAAAGTAAATTGCAATTAATTCCTGAGGAATGATAAATCAAAACAGTGCTCTGCCTGCCATCTGAACTAGGGAACCAGTTATTGATTATTTCAGCTCAATAGTCCAGCATACCCTTCCTTTGCAAGAATTTCCATTGTTTTAAACAAGAAATTACTCTGTATTTATATATATATTTCTTTGTTCTATATATATATATAAACAAATATAAAAACATAATTAACGGAATAAATTTTGTTTTAATAAATACCGTATAAAACAATTTTATTAAGTATGTCATCTAATTTTAGGTACACGTAATATAATATTAAACATTTATAAGGTACAAAGTAATCTTTTATTTCTTCGTTTGTTTTTTTTATTCTTATATCTCTGTCAAGAGTTTGTTACAATTAACAAAATCGGTGCAACTTTCTTATTTTTACCGTTACATACTTCCACAGTACTTTTAGAAACTAAAGCTACGTGAACGTGAAAACTGATTTCACTGTTTTGAAAAGCGATGTACCCTTTAAAGAGTAGCCACTTTTAAGAGTTCCTCCAAATCGTTTGCAATCAAAAAAATGCGAGGGAAACATAATTTCGTGAAATTGGAATAGAAAGAATTGTTTTTTACATAAACTCTTATTAAATAAGGTCGTGAATCTTAAAACTATATTAAGTCCGCTACATTCATGGGCATTTCGTCAATTTGCGTTGAATAATATTGCTCTATATCTCGGAGAATCCTTATGTCATCAGTTTTAACGAAATTAATGGAAACACCTTTCCTTCCAAAACGACCAGAACGACCTATTCTATGAATGTATAACTCACGATTGTTGGGCAGATCATAATTGATCACAAGGGACACTTGCTGCACGTCTATTCCTCTTGCCCACACATCGGTTGTGATCAAAACACGACTGTAAAAATAATACGGAATTACAGAAATCCATCTTGAAACATTATGATACTGTTATATATTAAGAGACATACCTTTGACCAGACCGGAACTCTTTCATTATGTTGTCTCTCTCTTTTTGTGGCATATCTCCGTGCATAGAACAAACTGTGAAATTAGCCTCCCTCATTTTCTCAGTTAACCAATCTACTTTACGTTTTGTATTGCAAAATATTACAGCTTGTGTTATTGTCAATGTATCATACAAGTCGCATAACGTATCAAACTTCCATTCTTCCCTTTCTACAGCAACAAAGAATTGCTTTATTCCTTCCAATGTCAATTCATCGCTACAAACAATAACAAGTTATTATAAATGAAACATACTGGTTCCTTAAACCTGAGAAATGTTCAGCTTACCGTTTGACAAGAATACGAATAGGATCTGTCATGAATTTACTTGTCATTTCCAGAATTTCGTGCGGTAATGTCGCAGACACTAATACAACCTGTGTTGCAGGAGGTAAGTATCTGTACACATCATAAATTTGTTCCTTGAAACCCTTGTTTAACATTTCGTCTGATTCATCCAGAACTAACATTTTTATAGCTCTGGTTCTGAGAACTCTCCTTTTTATCATGTCTGGAAATACCATGGGATTATTAAATTTCTTTATTTATTTTTACTATTAGCTTTGTTAATATCGCGCAATTATGTTACCAAACACTCTGCCAGGTGTGCCAGATACTACATGCTGCCCATAATCTAGCTTTCTGATATCCTCCCCGAGGTTAGTGCCTCCAATGCAGGCATGACATTGAACGTTCATAAAATCTCCTAACGCCAAAATAACTTTCTGTATTTGCGTTGCTAATTCCCTTGTAGGAGACAATACTAATACTTGAGTTTCTCTGACTTGTGTATCTAACGACTGTAAAATGGCAATTGAGAACGTTGCGGTTTTACCAGTACCGGACTGAGCTTGTGCGATCACATCTCGTCCTTTCATTATAGGTTTAATAGATCGTTGCTGAATTGCCGACGGTTTCTCAAATCCTACAATTGAAATGTTATTTTGCTACAACTTAAACATGTACTTGCGTAGAATATTACTAACGAACTAAAATCACACTGTTATACGTATTAACACACGCACTAATTTATAAATAGAAAATGGAAAAATACGCATACAGGTTATGTTTACGTGATATAAAAAGCATAAATTTGTCGTAATACCGTAAGCGTAAATTCCACGCAACAATTCATCTCTGAGCCCCATATTATCGAATGTCGGGATAACTTCCACATCTTCACTGGTTTCAAATTCAACATTTGACAAATCTTCTGTTTGTGCAACGCGACGAGATTTCGCTTCCGCCATTTTTGCTAATACTCTAAGGATGTCGAATCAGTCAACCATGAGTAATCTAAACTAGTGAACGAGATGGCGTATATAGTGAAATTTTGATCATCGTACAAGTTCGCCAACTTTATAACAAATTTTTGTATAAATTACCATAGCCAATTCTAGTACTAACCAAGCTGAATTCGCACTACTCTTTCTATCAAATGCAAATTTAGGCTCTCGCAATGTTGCTGTTTCCCATTTAGCATGGCTAGTATGTGCTAGCAGAGATGCCAGATTGAGCATCGGGTGCACTACTCACACTATGCTAGCTCATGCGTACGTGAGCTCGTAGAGTTTCGGAGAGTCGACAAAGACAAACTAACGCATGCCCTCTTTCTCGATTCTCCGAAGCTGCCCGAAGTAACTTCGGACCGCCTCGTGGGAGTCGAGAGAGAAAGGCTCACATTTGCCTTCTCTCTCTTGACACCCCCGAGACGATTCGAAGTGCATCCGCGCTCACTTTGAACAGCTTCGGAGAATCGAGAAAGAGGGTACGTGTCGGTGTCTCTTTGTCGACTCCACGAGATCCAAATCCTTCGAGGTGACGTATACGCGATCCCGGCATAGCGTAAAAAAGTGGAACGAGGAGTTCCTGGTGCACCGAGTGCACGGTCTGGTAACACTGTACACAAAAAGAAACGGCGATTAAATTTGCAAGATTTCAAGAATATAGGTGTATCAACCTTGAAGGGTTTTTGCATCGTACTGCACTGGTTCGTATCGGACACTGAACGCTGATTGGTCGTGCTAGCTCCCGACTAGAATGAGACATTAGAACGAGACGTCTGGCAATCGAATAAAAGGGGAGGGAGGAGTGATTTCGCGCGTTGAACGGATTCTGAATAATTTCCAAGAGATTCGCAAATTCGTCGGCGTCGACGTCGTGCGATCGAGGATATTATCGAGCAAGCGAGACCGTACCCGTTAAGGCCTGGCGAGATGTCCGTCATGGGAAAGGTAAGAATGAATTACTATACATAACATATATAATGACGTCGTTACTGGAGATCTCGGTTTTACTACTCTGGGCCCCCTCGTCACCGGCAGAACCTGTTTCTTGGACCGTTCAACTAGTATACTCGTTGATCGGCGAACGATGTTCCTTTTATTTATCCTTCGAATTATTCTCTTCATTTACGATCCTTTATCATTACCGTTCCTTTAATTTAACGGTACTATCGGATCGGGTTTTAATGCAACCAGCCTCGCGCGATCGAACGTACTTGCACACCTTCGTCGACGTATCGTTCGAAGCCGGTAAACATCAAAGCGAATTGTCCAGTCAATCATTTATTATATCGTTTCTTTCGTTTACAGCCGGTACTCTACTCCTATTGGCGGAGCTCTTGCTCATGGAGAGTACGAATCGGTGAGTGAGAAAATATATAGTGTTCATTGATTTTGAGAATTGCTTCCGATTACATTCGCGAGACATTTCGGGCGAAACACCGTCTATCGAAATCTTTCGCCGGAACTTTACTTTCCGACTTTATTTTTCGATAATAATCATAACTTAAATATAATATTTTTGAACAGCACTGAACTTGAAGGAAATCCCGTACGATATAAAACCGGTAAGCTTGATAAAAGGCGGAGGGGAGCAACATTCCAATGAATTTCGTGAAATTAATCCAATGGAGCAGGTGCCAGCGCTTCACATCGACAATCATACGTTAATAGAATCTGTGAGTATAGGGTCAATTGCATGTATTCGTTTCTATCAATCGACTACAGCGTACGTAACTTTGTAAATACATTGGTTACAGTTAAATATCTTGCAATATTTGGAAGAAACCAGACCACATCGACCTTTAATGCCTGCAGATCCAGTGAAGAGAGCTAGAGTTAGAGAGATCTGCGAGGTAATTGCCAGCGGTATTCAACCCTTGCAGAATCTGGTCGTGTTGATCTACGTTGGCGAAGAGCGCAAGAAAGAGTGGGCTCAGCATTGGATCACTAGAGGTTTAACCGGTGAGCAGCTGACAAAAGCAAAGAAATGATTTAAAACACGTAGCACGGAAACGATTAAACCGTTTATATTTCCAGCCGTAGAAAAGTTATTATCGTCCAGCGCAGGAAAATATTGCGTGGGGGATGAAATCACATTAGCAGATTGTTGTTTGATACCACAAATATTTAACGCGAGAAGGTTTCTCGTCGATCTGAGACCCTTTCCAACAATTTTGAGGGTAGACCGTCACTTGGAGAATCATCCTGCCTTCACGGCCGCCCATCCAAATAATCAGCCCGATTGTCCTCCAGAGGCAACCAAGTAGCAAGCAAGGCAGACCACCCTCTTCCTCTTCTAATTTATTAGAATCGGGAAGAGAGGCGGTCCGACATTGTCTAGTTCTATAGTGAGAAAAGGTGTGTAATTTTTATTGAAATTTATAACGCACAAAATTATACACGGTACAATAAAAATGGCTGCAGGAACTTTACTAAGGAAATAAATATATATCGTTAATTTTTTAACAGCTGTATTGCACATTTATCGGCTCGAATTTACATGAAACGGCGAAGAGATTTTTTTTTATAAAATTTTCTTTGTTCGTGACACGAATAGTACACCTTTTATCACTTGTGAACTATGGGTTTAGGTGCCGAGATGGTAAGCGTCGTAGAGTAGATTATTCGACTCTATAATAATTTTTAGTTATACGTGAAGTAAAATTACGTGCTGCTCCGTCTGTTCCAAGATGAGACGAAACAACACCGTACCATTCCCATACCTACTCGGAGAATAGGGATGTTAGCTTAGGTTTTATTTTGTTATGTTTTTTTTTTTACATTGATTTAGATGCATAATCAAAAATTAAACAAAAATTCGTCTTCGTACAGTACTTGCGTATTACTTTGTAAAATGTACCGACCTATTAAAAATAGGTTCTGTTGTCTGAAATCAAAAGTTTACTTTTTATACTGACGATAATATAATTTGTCGATTATTTTTAGGTTACGTAGATTAAGGAAAAGTGTTGCTATTAAATAATATTAGATAAAAACTTTAAATCCTTTACCGAATACAATGTAGCAGGTCCAAACGTTGCAGAAAGCACACACACTAACTACGTACATTTAAACAGGCGGATGATGAGACTTGTGCGACGGGGGAACGGAATCTGCTCAAACTCCATACAAAATACTGAGGAATGTAAAGTACAAATCAAATTTCTTTCCTAAAGCTTTTTATCCTGCGAGTACACTTTATTTTCTTCTAGAAACTGTATCGAACCGTAGGTAATCGTTAGAGATACTAGATGCAACGTAACTTTGGATTTCGCGTATCCGTTTTAGCTTTAGAAAATTTTAAAGTGTGCTCGACGTTGATACGTACCGCAGATTTATATCGCGTACCTTAGCCGGAACACATTGATTACCCTGAAACCATTCCATAGCATATTGAGATTATAAGAGGAAAAGAAAAAAAGGATGGAAGAGAATAATGGTTAATATACAATGTGTATATACATACATACATATATATATATATCTGAAAACACAGAATGTTTTCCTGCTTCAATCTTGAGCACACTTGAATAATTTCCGCTGTATTTTTTGCAGATCTTAATCTTATACAGGGTGTTCGGCCAACCCTGGGGTGTTGAAATTTTAATGGGAGATTCTAGGGGCCAAAATAAGACGAAAATGAGGAATAGCAATTTGTTGATCGAGGCTTCGTTAAACAGTTATTAACGTTTAAAGTTACGCTTGTAAAATGGCAATCTGGGAACAGCTGCGCGCGCATGATAGTGGTTCTACAGGCGGAACTTTAAACGTTAATAACTTTTTAACGAAGCCTCGATCGACAAATTGGCATTCTTGAGTTTCGTCTCAATTTGGCCCCTAGAATCTCCCATTAAAATTTCAACAGCCCAAGGTTGACCGAACACCCTGTATAGAGATACATTTTTATTGTATCGCCTATATCGTATAACTTATATATTTTCTAGATTTATACACAACTAGTACGTTTATTACGCGACGAAGATCACAGGCATCAGAATGAAACTGAACTATCCGGACATTGTCGGTAACCACCTATCCCTATTGACACTGCTTCATTTGTCATTACTTTCCGCAAGAGCGAAGACTACTGTTCCGATTTGTACGAAGTCACACGATAAAAATTGAAACTCTCGAAAGTAGTTGTTCGTAGGCTTTGTCAGTTCGTTAGTTTTTTTTTACGAATTGTACGTTAAGATACTCCGTGTCACATAGGTAATAATGAAAGGGTACTTGTTTGCATGCTTGCTCGAACAAGATGATTAGAAATTATAATTTATACTATAATGAAGAGGAATGACAGAGATATACATTTCATACTTAGACGTGTGCAGTATACAAGCGAGTGATTAGATAATAATGTATATATAATTTTTATACAAGACGTTCGAATGCTGCATGTAAAAGCACAATCGATCCACGTTTAAAAAGGGTGTTCGTACTATTTCAGCAAGAGTATCGTATGTCATACATATATGTATATGATAGGGTCTGTCGATGAACGTAGGAAGGAATGCAAACAAGTATGACACCGTTCGCCTATAATCGTAAAATAAAAGTTGCGACGATACCAAGAACGAAAAAACTCGTCTCGTTTATTTTCAGTTCACGTAATGTTTGTTATTTCTTATAATCGAATTACGCGAGAGAAATGGATAATTTTATATGGAATTACGAACGATATTGTTCTACCACTAACGTGAGGCAAAATTGGCCAAACAAATCTACTTGCATCGACCGATGTACCTTTTGCATTTGATACCACATTGAGAAAATAAATTTTCCGTTTCTCTGCATAATGCTGTTTTTTTTCTGTTTTTTGCGTTGTTGTTGCTCTCACGGAGAGGCGATAATAAGCTGCTTTTTTCACGGACACGCGAGAGCCCGAAGCAGGAAACTACCTAATGCGACAGAAACCATTCGTTTAATAGCGTAACGTGGAATAATAAACCAAGGGCAATAAAGGACAGCCATTTTTTAAAACTCGGTTCGTTGACGGTCCTAAATAATGTTCAGTTAGGTAGCGTTATACATATATAATTTTGTGAAAGGATGCGTGAATAAAGCGACTTGTAGCCGAGGCGAATGCGAGCATGTATAATAATAAGAATAAACGACAGTTAAAATGGACGTAAGAAACGAAAGAAACCGACATGATACGCATAGATATTTTGTAAGGGAAAATTTAATTATGTACGTTCACTGCTTAACGAGGAATAATAAATTCTGTGTCATAGCGTATGTATGTTAATTTGTAGACGCGAAACTAAAACGCTGTTAAGGGCCGCGAGTACATTCGTGAATGATGTACTTCTCGCTGGAATAAAAAAAAGTACGTTTCGACCGTAGCTGTGCAAGTTATCACGAGAATCGTAACCCGATGTTCAGTGTAAGAAATGAAATGGTGTTAATTTTCAATTAGAATTAAAATCGGTGTAATTTTTTTTTACCTTGGCACCTCGAATCACCTGTCCAATGCTTCGATCTACTGTCTCTATTACACCATCTATAACGTGTACATAGATTCGTTGTATCGTAGCGTCGATGCAACTCGGAAAGACAAAGTTAAATCGTAGTTCGAAGGAAAAAAAATTGATCCGTCAAGGTAACTTCCGTGACCGTGAATCATAACTGGTAGTTTTACGTAATGGTAGTTCGCCTTCCTACACGAGGAATAGAAGAATTGCATTTGCAGCGACGACGAAGGACACGATATAGGGGCAACGTTTAACTCCGGTGACTTTAAGCGTTGAAAGATTTCGATTAATAAAATTAAAAAAAATTCGTGAATCAGTATGGAAATAAAGAAAAAAAGTCAGCGTCCTGCCCGCCAGAAGGAGTTCACGGTTGTTTAACTTTGAACAGAGATCGAACAGAAGAACAACAGCGTTAATAAATTTTTATTTTTCTTTCAACTTTATCGACCGTGTTACTTTTTTCATTTTCGTTCCATGCCATCTGTCTAAACTCGATATTTGTTTTTTTTTCGTTTAACAATGTCTTTATTATAAATCAATCGTATAAAAAAAATACATTCCCTTATCCTAAACTGACTAGTTAGACCAGTGTCTTTTTGTACGTTGGAATTTTTGTATACTAATGACAACGCATGAGAGAACCGTACTGTAGTGCGATATGGTGAAAACAAAGGACACTGCCGGTAAGAATAGATACAAAACGACGATGGCAATAAATACTGATCGAATTTTAACGTATACGTGTCTAGATTCATTTCTTTAAAAAAATGCTGCTGCATTTACGAGAGATTGATCGCTCGTACCGTTTAACTCTGCCTTGAACTAGAGTCGAGCAATATTCTATTTATAAAGGCTTACGAACTAATTGAAATCGTCGTGTCGTCGCATATACAGATGAATGAATAGGTTAAACCAGGGCTCGGTAAACTATGGCACGCAGCTCGGATTCGATCTTTAATTTCATTTCGTGATATAATCGTTGAAATGTCGTTCACTGTAACCGTTAAGTTGCCTTTATAGGCGTTTAACTGCACAAGGAGCAAAACTTGGCACTGTGTCACACGATGAGAGAGGTCCATCGACAAACAAGAACAGACCTGTTAGTTTCTAGTTGCACTTACTATATGAATGTACAGGGTGTTCGGCCATTCCTGGGAAAAATTTTAATGGAAGATTCTAGAGGCCAAAATAGGACGAAAATCAAGAATACCAATTTGTTGATGGAGGCTTCGTTAAAAAGTATTCAATGTTTAAAGTTCCATCAGTGATTCCATCATGAATTTTTTTCTCGAAAATACGTAGGATTTCGGGGATATGTCTATTGACCAAAAATGATCGTAATTGACCCCCGCAACCGAAAATAATTTTTCTAGAACGATTTGAAAGCTTTTAATTTTGTCGAAAAACTTCAGTACCTTCTCGAATTTTTTTCTCGAAAGTGGGTAGGAATTCGGGGTTATGTCTATTGACCAAAACTGATTGCAATTGATCCCCGCAACCGAAAATAATTTTTTTAGAACGATTTGAAACTTTTCAATTTCGACGAAAAATTGGTCCACTTTCTTGAATTTTTTTCTCAAAAATGCGTAGGATTTCGAGGGTATGTATAATGACAAAAAATGATGGTAATTGACCCCCCTAGCTAAAAATAATTTTTTTAGAACTATTTGAAATTTTTGAATTTAATTGTTAATAACTTTTTAACGAAGCCTCAGTCAAGAAGTTGATATCCTTCATTTTCGTCTTATTTTGGCCTCTAGAATCTCCCATTAAAATTTTTCCCACGGCCAAACACCCTGTATATGCGAAACAGACATATCGTGGATGAAATATGTACGAAAAGTCATACATTACAGGTCCTGTTTCGTTTTTGGTTGATGGAGACCACTAAATTAATAATATAAAAAAGTTTAGCAAACCCTGGATCAAACCATCGAAAACGTTCAATTTTCGACGAGCTTTCTATCAAAATCTGGAAGATTCCACGTCGTCGACGAAACTCGTGGCCGTGCACGGTTATGAAATAGCAACCTTCCCAATTTTGATAAAATTACAATTGCATCGATGTCGCGTACCATCAGAGAAAATAAAGAAACGGATGTTCGACAGGTTTCATTTTTTCGTACCTCGAATCGCGGATACAGCTGAAACGTCGAGGCACAACGACGATATAAATTTAGAGACGATAGATACCACGCATCGTTGTCCTTGCGACGTAGCTACATTTTTAATTTCAATGCGTTCTCGTATTACCGGTACAGGCTACATTTATTCTCTACTTGTCGTATTTTCGAGCAAAAATCGTCCCCCAACCCACGCGCGGGCCAGCCAACCTGTTGATACAAAGAGGTACAATGCTAATAATCGTATGAAACTTGAAAAAAGTATTCGGTGAATGATAAATAGAAAGAATACGGATGATTGTACAGCGACACTGAAATGGATAAATGGATGGATGGATTCGATGGACTTAGCGTGGATGGACGTGTCTTGTGGCCAGGTCATGAAATGAAGAACAACAGAATGCATTTAATGAGCGATTGTTTATTATGCTCTTATGGTCACTTGTCGTACAGGTAACGATGCTTCCTCATGAGTGAAAATAGTTAATATATATATATATATATTATGTTTCTCTAATATTCTTTTTATAATTATTTAACATTGAATGGAATAACTTTGATGATGAAAGAATTAACAATTCGATGGATGCAAATAAATGTGGTTAGAGTGTAAAGTAATTATTTTAAGAGTAAAATTCAAATGCTTTGTGAACTAATGATATACATACATATAGGTGTGTGTGTCTGTGTCTGTGTGCGTGCGTGCGCGCGCGCGTGTCTTTCTCTTTCCCCTTTCT